ATTAGTGTATTTTTGGAGGAGACAGGTGTCTTCGTGTTCATCTTACTTTTGTGTTTGTCCTGGGACTTGTGCATCTGGAAAGTTTTTATTTAAGTCATTTTTCTTTTATCAGTGGGGGTGCCTTCATGTTCAGGAGAAATTTTGTGGTAGTGTTGAAGTCATTTCCTTTGTAAGACTACTGTTCAGGGAACTAGACTCTAATTCCATTCCATCCATTAGAGTAGAATTCTATTTGTATTCTATTATATTAATCACTATCTATTGGTAGATCCACCTTGAAAATAGAGTTGTAGTCAACTACAAAAATCATCATCCTAAATTCCCCAAATGTTTGGGGTTTAAAGAGACAGGGGACAACCAAACTAAACTAGAGGGAACTCATGAAAGTTGGATCAATGGCTGTGGAGCCTACATGGGACTAGACTAGACTATGATGGGACACCTGGAACAACCTTAAGGCAGGGGGAGGGACTTGGACTTGCCTCTACTGAATGTGCCTCAACATGGGAGGCCTTGCCTTCTTGTGGGAGGGATGGCTGGGCAGGGACAGGAGAAGGGAAGAGGGGGATCTTTGATTGGTGTGTGAAATGAATGAAAAAAATTTCTTAATTAAAAAAAGAGACATTGACAGTACTGTGTGTATTAATATATCAGATATTATGGGTATTCATGGAAAGCAAAGTGAAGGAAAAAATCCCACTGTAATAAAGACTAATAATTAGTATTGGGTTGATAGAAAGCATGGGGGGGAGTAATAAATAGTAGGGATTGCTGTAAGAGCAAGAAAAGGAGAGTGAGTTAAGGGAGTTTGGGCAGAAGATAATCTCAAAGAGAGAAGAAAAGGAGAGTGAGTTAAGGGAGTTTGGGCAGAAGGTAATCTCAAAGAGAGAGGTAAAAATATGTTGTAGATAATGCAGAACAGTTCCATTTCTCAAGACTCCATGGAGCCCCCCAAATCAGGACAGTCTTTGTTCTTTGAGAGATGAAAAAGGAAAGATAGGAAGAAGAAAAAAGGCATAAGGCAGGACCAAGATGTCCTTTAAAATTGACATTGGGTATTAAATTAAAAAGAAATAGTTGTAACAGGGAGAGGGAGTTGAGTGGGGACTTAGGGCATAAAAACTGTTTGGCCCGGTTGCTTCTAGAGGACCATCTTTGCCATGGGAGCTCCTCTGTGCAATGACTCCTTCATCATCCAGCTCCTCAGTGCCAAACTCTTTCAGCCTGACTCCTCAGCGTTGAACTACTAGAGCATTACTGCCTACGCAGAGAACCCTTCAGTGGCATTTTTAGTTCTGGTTCTCGCAAATGAATCTTCAATTTTACAAGATGGAGCTTCCATGGCTGGGTAACCCTGAAGTTTAAACAGAAACACATTTGAGCTGGGTGGTTGGTAGCACATGCCTGTAATCCCAGCACTTGGGAGGCAGAGGCAGGTGGGTCTCTGTGAGTTCAAGGCCAGCTTGATCTACAAAGCAAGTTCCAGGACAGCCAGAGCTGTTTCATGGAGAAACCCTGTCTCAGGAAAAAAAAAAAGAAAAGAAAAGAAAAAAAAGATTTGTTTCTCATACCGTGGTTGAAGACATGTCTCTGTTTTGTATAATCCAGAGGGGCCATGGCTCCCTCTGTGAACAGATGGCCCCCCTAGTTTCCCTATCACAGAAATCTAGAAAAAGAGATGTTCCCATGAGCAAGTGGGTGGATGATCTGTGAACTCATTCACAAACAGCAATTTTTGCTCCAGGTTCTTAGGCTAACTTGCTGTAGATCAAACAGGAGTGATGTAATCTCTTCAACCCTTAGGCCTAATCTTAACTATTAAGATCAAGCACATTGCTAAATAAAACTATACCCATTTCACAAACAGGAAAGTAGCAGCCAGGTGACTTCAAAGCTTACCACTTTACACCCATTTAGCCAAAGTATCGCTCCTATTTAAGTGATATCCAAAAGTTGTAGAATATTCACAACTTAAAAATGGAAATAATCACCAGGCATGGTGACATACACCTTTAATCTCAGCACTCAGGAGCCTGAGGCAGAATTTGAGGCCATCCTGACCTACACAGTGAGTTCTAAGTCAGCCAGGAATTTAGAGTGAGACCCTGTCTCAAAAGAAAAAAAAAAATGTGTATAAGTAATCCAGAAAAAAAAACAAACAAGAGTAACCAGGCAGGCAGACAGAATGAACTCTAGATGGAACTGTGAGGAGTTGAGAAACTCAAGGACAATTGCTACCTGCTGCCTGGGTGGGTAAGTGTTTTCTCTGTGTTCTATCCCTTCATCTGTACAATCAAATATCGGACTAAAATGACACTCCTCCTGTCTCTAACACTCTACTTGGAAACAGTAAACAAAAAATAAGCATGAGTAGTAAATAATGTTGAATATTGTTCTTCTGAGGGGAATGGAAATAATGGAGAAATCCCTGGTGACTCACACAAGGAAATCAACCTAGACTGCTTGAGGCTCAGAAGACAAGCTGAGACCTGATGAGAGCCCCACCTACTTTACAGATTCCTCTCAAGTCCAGCACCAGCCTGAGCTCAAACCAGCCAGTGAAATGGAAATTTTGTCATGAAGGGGAATCCTGGAGGAGGAGGCTAAGGCCCCGAAGGCTACTGTTTCAGGAGTCCTGTCCTCAGCACACAGGTTGAGTTGAAAACAGAAGTATGACCGGCTTAAAAGAGAGCAGTAGTAGATATAAGGGTATATATAAATATGCTGAACTCACCAAATACCTCATGTCATCTTCGTAGAGAGGGGAGAGTTAGTGATTTTCTCACCCGAGCAGGATTTGCATTCAGATTCTCCAGTAAGTCAGTGTCTCAAAGATGACACATGTGAGAGGGGATCCAACTTGGAGCTCTGTGAAGTGCAAAGCATCTACTCTGGGCTAAGAGAAGAAACAGATGTTTCCTACGGTGACCCCATTCTGATAAGGAAGGCTTTCTCAGAAAGCTCCCCTTTCAGTTGCCCAGTTCGTCCACACCTGCTTATTTGATTTTTGAAGGTAAGTTAAAATAATGAAACCTGTAAGCTCCAGCTGGGCCCCAGAAATTTAATTTTGGGAAACCCCTTGTTCTTACCCTTATGATGGAAGGTTAGGTCAAAGGATGCCTCGCCCGCCCTCCCCCAAGACTTTTCAACCTGGGTCCTAGGGTGACTGTGAAAGAGGAAGGGGCCAGAGAATGAAGACCGCAGAGTCTCTCTCACTAGGGAGTAACTAGGTAGGCACTTCCGCCTGCATGCCACTGCTGGGAACCTGCCTGCACCCGCCCCCTTCCTTTAAGTGGTTTCATTTGAGCAGGAGAGGAAGTTTTAAGCTTGAAGACACTCGGTCCTTCCCCTAGCAGCAACCTAAACCACCAACGCCAAACACTCACAGCCCCAGGCTGAGAAGACAGTCAGCTGAGAGCTGCCACCCCTTAACCACCAGCCTGGTATTTTAGGCTGAGGCTCAGCTTGGACTGTAGAGGAGAGGTGGGAGGAGATGGGTTTCTGTGGGGAGAAAGCCTTGCATCTAGATTCCCGGTTATTGCATTGACTTGTTGTTGTCCCATAGCGACACACTTGGCTTTGGGTGAGTACCAATGAGTGAAAAGCAAGGGTTAACCTTGATGGAATCGGCGACTAGCTTGCACAGTCAATGGAAAAATGGTGTAAGTGCTCATAAATATGGGTTTGGGAAAGTTGCTTAACAATTGCTCACCACCGAGGTTAATGTCCTTGCCCAACAGCTAAATGAGACTAGTACCTCCTACTTCAGAGTAGGACACTTAAGAGAAAATACGCTTGTGAAACGAAGGAGCCTCACCAGCTCACGCACTTTAGTTACGGCACATGAAGGTCAGCGTGGAGCAGTGAATCACCAAACCGAAGAAGCCGAACTCGACAGTGGCTACAGACCCCGTTTAGTTGGCGGACCAAGTGTCGCTGTCCTGCTCGGATGCGAAGCGGAGGGAGCATCACCTTTAGCACTTGCAGCACTGGCGTGAGCCCCAGCATCAACAAGGAAGGGGCGGATCAGACGCGGGGTTCGGCAGGCTCGGGCTAGGTGTTGGGACACTGCGGACATCTGCGGATGGCTGGACCGCTCCCTCTCGCCCTTACTCTCCGCCAGACCGGATCAGCTGGTTCCAGTGGCTCACCTAAAGGAATTTGGGTGGCCCTCCCACTCCACCGAGTACCCAGCCAGCCCTGCGTGATAGCATCAGACTGCACACGCCTCTGGGCAAACGAAAGCCAAGAGTGGAAACCGATACTCGCCTGCCAGCCCAGGCTCCGCCCCCGCGCAGCTTCCCTTTGCTAGGCAACCACACCTTCCATCCCTCAGGAACCACTAGTAGTAAATGTTAGAGTTTCAGGAAAGCATCTAGAGGCGCTGCCCCACCCCATCCTCCCATCCTCCCAACTTCTACCTTCAGGTCTTTCCCCCTTACTCTCTCCCTTCTGCCCCCAAACAATAGCAATCATTTATACAGTCTGATCATCGCCAACAGGTGAGAGTCCTCACAAGAAAGACAGGAACTCAGCCTTGTTCTTCAGAAGATGAGTCGTAGAGACCTGAAGCCACCTAGCCATTTATTTCCTAGGATTCTTGGGAGTGGTCCTTGCTCCTCTACGTGGCTTAAGAACTGTAAGGAAGGTTTGTCTATTAATAAGCAGCCAGAGGCTGCTCCCATCTCTCATTCCTCTGTGGGTTTGAAGGCGGCTAGTTTTAGCAAACACCTTCAAATGACTGCAATCCCAAATTTTCATCTCTCCCCACCCACTGCTGAGGACGGAACCCAGGGCCTGCCAGATGCTAGGCAAGCGCACCACCCCAGCCCTCAGGAAACACCAGAGTATCAAAAGTCAATGTTAGAATCTCGCATGGGAGCATTAGAACTTAAAATATAAAATCCAAGTATTAGACAAAGGAGAACAACAAAGTGGTATAAATCTGGAGGGAATTTTCACACAGCCCATCTTCAGGTTTGTGCCTTTCCCATATTTTATTAAACTCGAGTTGTTGCTTAAAAAACAGCAGCATTATTAAAGACGCATCTGTACAAACATTTTACAAAAGAAAACAGTACTAGTATCAGCTACATCAAGGGCAGGCAGAAGAATAGACGCAGTCCAACAGAGACATTTAAAATGTATTCAGATATTGGAAAGGCCTTTTCCTCCCGCACAAACGACGGCCGACGAAGAAGGACACTGCACAGGCTCAATTAGTGAGCTTCTCTTCTCTGGGGAAGGCAGGGAGCCGATGGATGTCAACCCACAACGGTACAAACACTGCTTTCCCATTTCAACCCATGAAAGTCTTTAGGTGGATTCAAGTCACTGGGAAACAACTCTGGGCTGCCTGGCATTTGCTCCTTAACTAAGCCACCTAGCCAGCCTTTGCTTAACTCTGTGGTCAGGTCTCTATTGACTGGACAAGGAATTTCAGAAATGCTTCCTTCAAGACCAAAGGCGAGGAGGTAACCTGAACTCAGCATCTAGCGAATTTGTTTGTGGATAGAGAAGTAAAAGGTCAGAGCTGGGAGGAAAATTACCTCCTGGCCAAGAATCAACGGGCCAACTCATGCTGGTCTGGGATGATGTGGAAGCCCAGGACCTGCTGGGCATCTACAAGCTAGGTTCGCTTCTCATCTCCCCCAGCTCCTTCAGCTCCACCTTTCTGTACTTTCCTGACTTCCTCCGATTGGTGACCACCAAAACGACCACGCCGGCCACTAGGGCTACTACAACCACAGCAATGACAGCGATGAGGCCGGCGGTGAGGCGCTTCATGGAGAACTGGGGGGGCTTCTCGTCCAAGTAGTAGATGAGCATCCGCTCCACATGCAGGGGCTCCCCACGCACCTGCACATCCAGGCGGCGGCGGCCAGAGAACAGCGACTCCCCTTTGATGTCCCTCTCGAAGTAGTAGGCCACATCAGCTATGTCCACGTCTCCCAGGCTCTTTTGCGACGCATTCTGTCGCAGCTCAATCTGGATAATGGGCTCCTCGTAGTGCACGGCTGTCAGAAAGTTGGGGCGCAGCTGGTAGCGCTCCTTGAAGAGCCGCCGCAGCTCGGAGTCCAGGTCAGAGTGGTTGAAGGCTCGGTCGGCCAGGCGGTGGCGCAACTCAATGAGGATGTGGTGGGTGCGCACCACTTCGTCGCAGCGCAGGCTCAGGTCGCCCTTGTCTGTGCGGCGCACACCCACCGAGTTTACACACCAGCACACCGAGGTCTGATTGCACTGGCGTGCCTTGAAGCGGCCCCTGTCGTCGCATTCTGGGTCGTAGAGGCCATCATTGTCCAGGATCGCATGCTCACTAGGCTTCACCAGGCTGCGGCCGCTCTTCCCGGCGCTCATGCGCGCCTTGAGCAGCAGGCACTTGGAAGTCAGCGTGGTGCAGTTGACTAACATCTGTGAACCGATCGCCCGGCATTGGCAGCTGCCACCTGGGCCATCTAAGCTGCAGACGGTCATCTTGTTGGTGGGGCATGTGCAGCTGCTCATCTGTGCAGCGCAAAAGTGGGTCACCACCGCCAGCAGCCCCAGCAGCAGCAGTGGTGCTAGCTCCAAGCCCCTAGTCATGGTGGGGTGGAGGAGATCGGACTTACAGCTACTGACCAGGGGCAGGAGTTCCGAAGGATCACTGCAGGCGACTGCTGCCGGGCCGCTCCCTCCCGCTCTTATACCCTCCTAGACCTGCAGGACTGGTTAGCCAGTGACTCACCAATTGGAATCTGGGTGGCACTCCCCATTCCCAGGTCCCGTGGAGGAAGCTACCATCCCTGAGCCTCCTGAGATAGGATCAGGCAGGGGAGGCTGCTCCTGCCATCTGCTGACCAAAAGCCCATAGAGGAAACCAGTACTTACCTAGCCCCACCCTGGAGACGTTGTCCTCCTTATGGCTCAGAACCAGGGCGTCCCACCTCCTGAGTTCCTCCAGAGGCCCAGCTCCTGACCTCCACGCCCCTCTCATTCCAGGTCTCATAATCCCATGCCTCCTCCCTTTCTCTCCCAGCTCCTATCTTCAGTCTCTTTCCTTCCCTCCCTTCTTGCTCCAGAACACCTCATAACACATTTACACAGTTCTTTTGCTGGTCAATAGTATTAGTCTGTTCTCATGCCTCTCAGGACACAAACGGACTGTCTGTAAACCCTATTCTAGGAGAGATGATACAGATGAGGCAGGGAGACCTAAAGTTACCCCAGCCATTGATTTCCTAGGATTCCAGCCTGGGTCTTCCATTTGGCTATAAGAACTGTAAAGGTATATTTATGAAAACAAAATGGTGCAGAATCTGAAGGCAGACTAGTGAAACAATTCTATTACCACCACCTGCAGAATCCAGCTGCCCTGGTGTGCCATGTATTAAAAGTTCTATTGAAACACACACGTGTGCCTATACTTGTAAAGATAAATGAAAAAGAAACATTGTTTTTTGTTTTTGGTCACTAAGACCACTAGGTGAGATCTTGTACCATTTGATTCTCAGAGAGCAAATTATTGGTTTTCTTTCTCGATAACCAATGGAAGTGGCTGAACCACTAAGTATAATGAGAGAATGGAGCCTGTGAGAAACTGTGCCTCTTTTATGGGATGAAGGGGTGGCAATCTCTTTTAAAATCTAGAGAAAGTCCACCATTCCAAGCTGTGGTAAAATTAACAATAATTAACAAACTATAATTATTCTCAGATCCACCTTCAAAACACATTTTATATATCATCGTTTAATGTGTGCCGGTAGTACACTGTACAAGGGTGTTGTTTGACTCATGGAAGCCAGCCAGGCCTCTGCACCATTAATTATCAAGCAATTCCCAAGGCAGACAGATGCAAACATATTATTTTGTCTTTATAGATAGAGGAAGTAGAGACACGAGGGATGAATTCTTACCCAGTAGCACCAGGAGATTTGGGGACACACCTCAGATTTCTCGCCTCACCATCTCTTTAGGTCTCTTGAACAACTAGCCTAGCCTGTTCAGCCTCCATCCACCCTGCCACAGAGCAAGATCTAATGCTCAAATCTGTGTGCATTTTCTCATTTTCTCTCAGTTGAGAATACTCTGTGTGCGTGTGTGTGTGTGTGTGTGTGTGTGTGTGTGTGTGTGTGTGTGTGTGTGTGTGGTGTGTGTGTGTAGAAAGGGGAAGAGAGAGACATTTTGACTCTAAGGGTAAAGTTTATACTTTATTATATTAATTAGTGCACAGGGTCAGCTGCTGTCATAGTTACTGCCTTCATCACTGTATCCCTGCCCACTTCCCAGACTTCCACATGTTCTCAAGCCTTTGCAGAGTCATGTACCTGGAGTCTCCTCTTTAATTGGTTCCAGTACACAATTTTGATTTTCTACTCAATCATTGTTTACTTTCTGGAAGCCTTTCCTGATACACTCTTCCCTGATCCACTCAGAAAAAGGCTTCTTCTCTGTACTCCCTTATCTTTTGCATCCCAGGGTTAGCAAAAACTACCCTTCCTGGGTTTCTGTTGCTCATCTATAAAATGGGTACATCAGAGGCTCTGTTTCTCAGCTTTTTTTTTATTCTGAGAATCAAACTAAACAGACAAGACAGTAAATGGTAAATCTTTGTAACTCCAAGACAATGTTATATTCCATTAAAAATTAGCCTGTCTTCTTGCTTTTTCCAATGATTGGCTGGGTGGCCAAAATCTATGATAATTTGCAAAGCCCCTTGGTTTTCTTTTTCTTTTTAAAGTTTGTTTATTTATTTATTTAGTTTTTTTTTCCAAGACAGGGTTTCTTTGTGTAGCACTGGCCATCCTGGAACTTGCTCAGTAGACCAGGCTGGCCTTGAACTCAGAGATCTGTCTGCCTTTGCCTCCCAAGTGCTAGGATTAAAGTCCTGTGCCACCACTTTCCAGGTTTCCCTGAGTCCCAGGCCAAATGGAGGAGAGCTAGTGAGGAGGGGCTCTCAGGGCTGAGGACCATAGGAGAAGATGGCCTGACTACTTAGTTAACTCAGCCCAGAACAGGATTTTGTTAGGTTACTAGGAGGAGTGGAGTAGTACTAGGTGTCCAAGCTTGGTATTCTCTTTGGGAGGACAGAGTGAACAAGGATGACTTCTAGATCCCCTGCCTGCCTTCCTTCTTTAATATCTGGTCCTGCCAGGCTTTCCTCGACAGGCACAAACCCACCCAGATCGAATTCTCCCTTCCTCTAATTAAAAACAAAAATCATGTGCTAGCTTAATTTCTTTGTATTTTTACTTTAATTTAGAAATACTTAACAAAAGCTTTCCATCATCTGGGGATTGTCAAGTGCTTACAAGGAGCAGGAGCCACATCAGTGTGCTGTGTCCCTGACAGATGATTATAGGAGGCACTAGGTAATGCTTGTTGGGTTAATTCACAGTGAATTGTCCTCAGAATGTTGCAACATTGATATGCTTGCCCTGGAGTGTATATGTGAACCATTTCAGTGTTGATGGCCTGGGACAGGTAAATATCATCACCTGTGACATCCTGGAATACCATCCCTACATTAGCCCATCTTCCAAATGCCTAGCTTTAAGGAAGACTGGATAATGGCACCCTGAGAACTGCTTTCACACTTACCCACGAACACAAACTTTTATTGGCCTTGTGCCTGCAGGGGGGAGGGATATGTTCTGCTGAAAGGTCAGCTTTAGGGATTAGGGTCAGGGTTTAGGTTTGGTTTGTGTCAGGGTTAGGATTAGGGTTTGGTTATGATTTATTAGGTTTAGGGTTGAATTAGGTTTAGTGTTAGGGTTAGAGTTTCTGTTTGGTGGTTAAGGTATGGCTTATGATTAAATTTGATGGTTGGAGTTCAGGTTAGTGTTACAGTTAGTGTTAGTGGTTGATATCAGGGGTTAGAGATAAAGTTAGGAGTTAGGATTAGGCTTAGTGTTAAGCTAAGGTTTCTGGTTAGTGTTGACTTACAGTTGGGGTTAATAAAGTTCACTTTAGAGTTGTGGTTAGAAGGTTAGGGTTAGGTTTCAGTTTTGTTTAGTGTTGTTAGGTTTATTGTAGATTAGGGTTAGGAGTAGAGAATGGGTTTGGTTTATAGTTAATGTGTGAGTTTTGAGATTTGGTTTAGGGGTTTATTTTAAGGTTTACTGTCAGGGTTACAGTTAGGGTTCGGTTAGTTTTGGGTTAGGCTATCATAAGGGTTAGCATTAGAGTTCAGAAAAGGTTAGGATCAAAGTTGGGTTAGAGTTAAGTTTAAAGTTGGGGAGTTAGAGTTGGGGATGGTGTTCTGAGTTATTGTAAGGCGATTGTTAGGTGGTTGGCATTCACACTATGCTTATATTTAGATTTAGAGTTGGTTTCAGGTTAGAGTTAGAGCTTGGTTTGGGGTTAGTCTTAGGGTGTTAGGGTAGGGCGATCTCTATGGTTAATATTAAGTATATAAGTGCTAGGTTTAGGCTTATGGTTAGGGTTAGGTTTTATATATGGTTAGGTTTTCAGTCTGATTAGATATAGGGTTAAGTTTAAGGTATAATTGTGAGGGCTAGTGGTTAGGGGTAGGGCTTCTGGTTGCTGATTTATTTAGGGCTAGTGTTTGAGCTAGAGTCACATTTGTGGTGAGAGCTAAGATTTGGTTTTGATGTCAGTTTAGGTGGAATGTTAGTTGTAGGCTTAAAGTAAGGTCAGAGCTATGGCTAGGATTGGGGTTAGATGTAAACTTACAAATAGAGCTATGGACATGTTTAGTTTGGCTTGGAATTCTGGTTAGAGTTGGAGTTAAGTTTAGGCTTAGGACTCAGGAAAAGAGTTTAGTGTAGCATTAGGGTAAGGTGTAGAGTTAGTGTTAAAAATTGCTTTATAGTTAGTTTTAGACCTAGTTTTGTGATCCAGGTAGGTGTAGAGTTAGGGTTTTGGTTAAGGTCTGATTAGGATTATTGTATGGTTATGCTTAGGGATATTGTTAGTGTTAGGGTTAGACAAGACTAGACTAGGGATAGGGTAGGGTTAAGGTTAGGGCTATGGTTAGTGTTGGGGTAGAGACAAGTTTATTTCTAAGATTGTTGAAAGTATTGTTTGAGTTATGGTTATGCCTGGGTCAGTGTTAGGACTGGGGACTGTCTTAGTTATATTTCTAAGATTAATGGTAGAGTTGGAGGTAGGTTTAGAGTTAAGGTCAGTGTTACATTGTTCTTAGGATTAGTGTTTGTTCTGTGGTTAGGTTTAGAGTTAAATTTAGGTTTATGGTTCAGATTGCTAGGAGAGCCATTGTTAGGATTTTCATTAGGGATTGGTTAGGGCTTGCTATGAAGTTCTGTAAAAGCTACAGAAATTGCTAGAACAAGAGTTAAGGTTAGTTTTAAACCTATTTTTAGGCACTTTGCTTAAGGTAGTGCTACAATTCCATTTAGGACTAGAGGTATGCTTAGGGCATGAGTTTGAGCTTTTTGAAGGCTCAAGTGAGTGCTAGAATTTGGGTTAGTATTAAAGTTATGTTTAAGATATAGCTAGTTTTAGGTTTGTGGTTAGGGATAGGATTACAACTTAGGTTAGAGATAAAGTTGGGGATAGTGTTAGAAATAATGTTAGGTTTAAGGTACGGCTAGGGTTAGAAATCAGGTTGGGGCTAGTGGTAGAATTGGGGCTAGGTTTAGGGTTAGTTTTAGGGTTAAGACTAGGGTTTGAGACAGTATTTGGGTTAGGTGTACATCTTTGTTCAGTTTGAGGGATAAGGTTAGTGATAGGTTTAGGGTTTTGTTTAGGTAATGTTATGGTTAATGCTTGGTTTAGT